CCCCCCCCCCACCCGGCCCGGCCCGGCCCGGCCCGGCCCTGCACCTCGACCATGCACGCACCCCCACTCGCCTTCGTCGCCGGGGGGCTAGAACGCCGCAGAGCGACCACCGACTTTGGACCAGTCGGCCGGGGGGCCGGCAGGGGGAGGGGCGGGGGCGTGAAGATGAGCGACGGGCCTTTGCCGCACCCCTCGCCTCCCTCGGGGGCGGGCCGATGGGGGCGTTTTTTTTTGCTCCCCGACTTGGGCGCCGGAAATATCGCGACGGTGGGTTCTTCGCCATCGGCGTGCGCCCTGCAGCTGGCCCTTGCGCGCCTGTGGGACAGAATCCAGCAATTCCTCCTTGCCCAGGCCCACCACCCCCAAGGCTCGAGCCGCGAGTCTGGCTCTTAACTGCTTGCATGCATGCGTGCGCGCCCGTCTGTCAGCGTCTTGATGCAAGGCCGAGAGCGACGGTGAGCGGGACAGCGAGAGCCCGGGGGCACGCTCCATCCCCAGGGGCGCCGGTGGCTGGCTGGCCAGGAACCAAGGCTGAGGTCAAGGAGAGATCCGCCGGGACGGGGGCAGAGGGAGGGGGGGGGGGGCGGACAGAATCGGGACACCCCCCCTCCTCACGGAGCATCTGTCCTCCCGGGTACCCCTTCGTCCCTGATAGGCATCCCGACCGTCCAGCGGGGGCGACTACATGTTTCACGCGGGGTTTCAAATTTTAAATACTGTCCGGCCCTCCGGCCGGGGGAAAGCAGATGCCGACAGCCGTACATACGGCATAAACACACGCTCACACACACACACGCACACATGTGAGTAAATGTGTGTATGCTTGCTCGAGAGAGAGAGAGAGAGACAGAAAATGGACACAGGCGGATATCTCCACCAGGACCGGCCCAGCGACCGGATAGCAGCGGCGTCATCCTACCGGGATGCACACCTGGGGCGACGTCGCGAGGTCTTCCCTTGGGCAGCACGCAATATGTCCTTCCTCGGCTCCGCCCATGATCTCTCTGCACGCCTCCATAGGTGGGGGGGGGGGCAGGACATATTTGTTGAGCCTGGCCCCGGGACATTGGGCATTCCCCCCCCCCCCCCCCCCCCCCCCCCCCCCAGAAGTGTGGCCCATGTATTGTGCGCCCGCGCGGC